TGCCATGGCCGCCAAAGGTCTTCATCATCCGCTTGCCCACCAAGTCAGTCCGCTGCACCTTGCGTCGTCGCGAGCTGAGAGCTGATAGCACGTCTGGTGCCCAACCCGCGGGGTATTGAGCGTCACGCGCCACCCGGAGCTCCTCAGAGTGAGGCGCCCCGGGTGCCCCCCCACCCCCCCCACCCCGCCCCCCGGGCACCCGACCCGCCCTCAGCTCTCAGCTCCCCACCACGCAAGGTGCAGCGGACCGACCTGGTGGGCAAGCGGATGATGAAGACCTTTGGCGGCCATGGCACCTTCGTCGGAGATATCGTCTCTTACGACCCGGAGACGGGATGTTACCAGCAGGTCACCTATGAGGACGGCGACAAGGAGGGCCTCTCGCGAGCCTCTGTCCAGGCTGGCGTGCGGCGATTCCAGGCCCAGGCAAAGTGATGCGATCCGTCTCGCCGAGGCGCGCTTTTTTGCGTCCGCCTCGGTAGATGTTAGAGACTTTGTGCGTTTGGAGCAGTGCGGACTGTCTGTGCAGAGTAGAGTGGGGTCTCACCCGTTTAGTTGATTTGTAGTATTGTTCTGTGTGAGCGGTGGTGCCGCACAGGCCGCTCTCCCTCGCCTCGGCGGTGTGCGGGTGGTGCCGCGGCGTGGCGCGGGCCGGGGGCGCGCGGTAGGCGTACGGGGCCGCGTGCGCGTGGCCCGCCCGGTGGTGCCCCTGGCTGGGTCGGGCAGCGAGCTACCCCCCCGGGACGGCGCATCGCGAGTGAGGCCCCGGGGTGGGGCAGGTGAGGGAGGGGGCGGGGACGGCCGGGCCCCGGTGAGCCCCGGGTGAGGCCCGACCCCCCCCCGTCCCGGGGCTACTGTGATAAACACATTAAAGCGCTCACATGCAGTTCCTGCAGTTCGAGACTGCGACCCATCAAGTCGTCGAGTGGCTGCCAGTTCGAATCTCGTTGGGACCGGGGTTCGACTGGCTCCATGAGGCAAAATGGGTTGAGAATGGTGAACAAGTACACTGGCCGGCGCTCTCATGGGTGGGTCCCAGCCCCTGTCTGTAACACACGTGTCACCAAGATATTCAAATATCTACACGGCGAGGTTGCAAACAGTGAATATGAGGTGCGACCTGCGGCATCCCTTTCCCTGCCCGCGGTCCTACCACCACCCGCCTACCCTGGAGGACGTCAAAACCAATCGCATCGGCCGAGATCACACGAGACTTATTCACAGCAGGGGCACAGGCCGATTGGTTCTTCTATTCACACCTCGGTAATTGCACCGACCACGTCGCCGTCAGCGCCCCCAAGACTCGGCGGACAGCAGGCACGCCCGACCAGATGCCTAACCACCACGCACGCTACCCAGAAGGCGCTGACTCGTATATTTTTCGAGAGCGCCTTCGTTGTTAATAGTACAAACCCAATGGTCCTCTGCGAGCGGTCCTTCGTTGCAGTCGCGCACACGCACACGCCATGCCGCACCGCGCGCCCGCCCACCGCCCCGCCCAGGCGGGAAAGAGATGAGGAGATGGGACAGCAAAGGAGGAGCACGAGCACGTATGGGAGGGTTCAGTAATGCGCCTTCAACGGAACCTTCGCGGTCGAGTCGCCTTCTCCTCTCGTTCCTCGCTCCGACGCAGCCATCTGTCTACCATCCTAGTCGCCCCTCGCCGCTCAAGTAGCGCCCGTCCAACCCGTTCACTATGTGCTTGTTGACTTCAGCATCTCGGATCGCATCCACCCTTGCTCCACCAACAAAACATCGCCACCCAAAAGGTCCCGTCTGAAGTAATGTGTGTGAGTGAGTGCACACACACACACACACACACACACACACACACACACACACACACACACACACACACACACACACACACACACACACACACACACACACACACACACACACACACACACACACACACACACACACACACACACAACACCAAACGCGACAAGGAGGGCAAACCCACGGGGCGAGTGGACTGCTTCAAGGCCGTCGGCACCTTCTTTGGCGACCCGGAAGCCTGCAAGAAGGAGCTCACCGCGCACCTCAGGAAGAAGCTTGCGCCGCTCGACGTCATCGACACGATCGTCGACACTGACTGCGTCACGAACACCTCGCAGCTCCGCCTCAACCTCGTCCAACGGATTGCCTGCGCAAAGTCCAAAGACCAAGTACATTGCCGGCATCACGCCGCCCAATGTCGCGTGCGACGCTCTCGAGTTTGCGCACAACCGCATCCGCAAGTCCTTTGAGAGCATTGCTCGCGCCGACGCCTCGCCCCAGGCGCTCCGCGACCTCGCGTGGCTCCAGGCGCAGCTGCCGACCGAGATGGGCGGGTGCAACATCGACACCGCCTTCACGCGAGCCGACAGCGACTTCGGCGTCCTCGCCGCCTGGGCGGACGCGATGCGCGCCCCGGCCAACGCGCCGGTCGTGCACGGTGACAAGGAGAAACCAGAGCTCACCCGGCAGTACAACGAGGGGTACAAGGTCGACCTCGCGGAACCCCACGCTGGCCCGGGAGGATGCGATGAGGTGAATGAAGTCAAGCTCTGGACGCCCCTCCTCAAGACCTCCTCGGGGGCGGGCGTTGGCAACGCCTCGAGCGGCGGCACGCCCGCCTCCGTTGGCCACTCCTACGCCTTCGGCAACACCGAAGAGAAGGCCCGCCGCCTAAACATGGGCTGCAAGGCGCGCGGGCAACCCGGCCAACCCTTCGACCACAAGAACGGCCACGGCTACGTCAAGGCGCATCGCGGTTTCTACCACGACGCGATCTTTGTCAAGCGCAACAACTTCAACCTGCTGCTCCACGAGACGTTCGGCGGCGGCTTCTCGCCCACCGCCGTTCTCAAGCTGCGCCGCCTCGCGCGCAAAGCCGCGCGCGGCAGCGTCGACCGCACGGCCTACTCGCCCAAGTACTCGCTTTCTTTTATGTCCCACCATGCAGAGCGCATCTCTCTCTCTGTTGTGCGAGGCGTGAACCGCGCCATTCGCTCTCACCTGGCAACCCTGTCTGCACGTCTCGCGCGCGCGTGAACAGGGCTCCAGGCCCCAAATGACGTGTGAGTGTTAGAGTTGTTTGGTATTGCTAAAATCGTAGGTTGTTAGAACGGTGAAGAACGGCCAGGCCGGACCTGGACACCAACGCGGTATGGGTGGACGCTAGACAGATGATGACGACACGCACGAGCGACACGCAGACAAAAAGGCTCACAAGAGCTGGCTGCCACCCACCCTGAGTTGGCGTACACTATCACGTAATTTCTTTTGGAGATCTGGCGCGGCGAGAGTTCTGAGATCTCTCAGCTAGGCGAATGTGTATGGAGATGTTGCCCTGGAGGGCTATTTGGGGGGGGCTTCGGCGACTACATGGAGCTGGGTAATGGAGGAGGGAGCGGGGAAAGAAGGGGGGGGAGGGGCTTGCGTTCGTAGCTTTCTTTTGGCGCAGCGTCCCGAAGGCGATCGCCGAGCATGCAGTTCGAGGGCCGAGACTTGCAGGGCGTGGCGCTGCCGGCGATGCTGGCGGGCGCGAACCTCAAGGGATCTGACCTGCGCGGCGCGGATCTCGAAAAGGCGGTGCTGCAGGAGGGGTATGTTTTCGCCCCGCCGGACGTGGAGGCCCTCGGGGGAGCGGCGCTCGGCAAGGCGTGGGGTGAGTGGCGTGACAATTACGACAATTACTTCAAGCCGGCCGAGGAGGGGGCGGAGGAGCGGCGGGCGGCCGTCCTCTCTGGCGCCAAGCTGGCCGGCACCAACCTGCGGGATGCCGACCTGCGTAAGGTGATGCTCGACAACGTGGAGGGGTCCGAGGGCGTCGTGCTGCTGGCGGTGGAGGGGAAGAAGGGGAAGGAGCTGGGCGAGGCGTGGATGGAGTGGGGCAAGGCGCTGCGGAACGAGCCGGGCGAGTCGGTGCGCTTCGCAGTTCTCAGCGGCGCGCAGCTGCAGGGGGCAGATCTCCACAGGGCACAGCTGCAGGGGGTTCGACTCAGCAGGGCGCAGCTGGAGGGGGCAAATCTCGGCTATGCGCAGCTGCAGGGGGCAGATCTCCAAAGGGCGCAGCTGCAGGGGGCAGTTCTCCAAAGGGCGCAGCTGCAGGGGGCAAATCTCAGCAAGGCGCAGCTGCAGGGGGCGTATCTCCCCAGGGCGCAGCTGGAGGGGGCAGATCTCTGCTGGGCGCAGCTGCAGGGGGCAAATCTCTGCTGGGCGCAGCTGGAGGGGGCAAATCTCTGCATCGCGCAGCTGGAGGGGGCCAACCTCTACGAGGCGCAGCTGCAGGGGGCATCTCTCGCTGAGGCGCAGCTGCAGGGGGCGAACCTCGGGGATGCCGACCTGCGCGGCGCCGACCTCACCGGCGCCAACCTCGCTGGCGCCAACCTGAAGAATGCCGACTTGCGCGGCGCAGTCCTCATCGGCGTCAACCTCGAGAAGGCCGACCTCGAGGGCGCCAAACTGCAGGGCGCGAAGTTCGAGCGCGCCGTCCTCGCTGGCGTCAAGCTCATCGGCGCCAAGTTCTCACCCTTCAAGCCGCCCGAGGTGCGCCCTCCGAAGCTTGCGCGGGCGTGGCGGCTGCGGGCGGTCGGCGGGCAGGCCGCGAAAGGGCTCTACGCGGCGCTCGCCGGAGGCGATAGCGACGGCGGCAGCGACGACGAGGGGGCGGAGGAGGAGGAGGAGGAGGAGGGGACGGCCACGAACATCGTCGCCAACGCGCTTGAGGCGGGCGTGACGGCTTTCGTGAAGGCAGCGGCGCCGGCGCTCGAGCTCGTGGAGGAGATCATCGGCAAGCTCCGCGCTGCGCTCAACGGCTGCATCGCCGTGCTCAAGGCCGCGGGGGACTGCGACAAGCCGGCAGAGTTTCTCTGCGACGCCACCCGCAAGCTCGTGCGCTTGCTCGTGTCGGAGCTGCTGCAGCCGCTGCTCGCTGTCTGCAGCGATCCTCCCGACTCTTGGGCCTCGCTGCGAGAGGGCGTGCTGCAGAAGCTCGAGCCGCAGCCCAAAGAGCTGCTTGGCAAGCTCGCGGCGTCGATCGCGCCGTCGGTTGAGCCAGAGTCGACTGCCGAGGCCGAGCCGCCGCCGGCGGCGGCGGCGGCAGCGGCGGCGGAGGGGGGCGAGGCCGCGGGTGAGCTCCTCCGAGAGCTCTTGCGCCTGATCGCCGAGGAGGCGACCGCCATGCTGCCGGCACTCGAGGAGTCCGTCGAGGCGGTCGTGTCGAAGACCCTTCAGATGCTGTCATTGCACGTCGAAGACGTCGAGCTCGGACTCGTACGCGATTTCACAGCCGTCGCAGACCGCCTCGAGAAGCATCTCGAGACGGTGCTGATCGAGGAGGGGATCGGCAAGCTCGTGTCCAAGTTCCTGCTCGGCCGCTGCGGTGCGCCTCATCATAATGCTGTTCCTCTCGATAGAGAACAAGCGTTGTGTCTGACGATGAACGGAAGTCTATCAATAGGCGCTGTCCTCGAGAAGCTGAGCGACGTCGCCTCCGAGCAGCTGAAGCTGGCGGAGCAGATGGAGAAGACGATCGCGGCGAAGGTCGCTAGTGTTGGCGACGCCGCGAACCAGAAGCTGCTCAAGTTCGTCGGCGGCGAGGGCAGCATCAAGAGCCGCGTCGTCAAGTCCGTCCTCAGCGCCGCGACAAAGTACGAGGTCAGCGCCGGCGGCTTCCAAGGGAGTTTCGACATGCTGCGGCTGGCCCTTCGCCGAAGCCCGATCCGGGCCCGCACCCCCGTTTTTTTGCCCCCCCTCCCCCCCCCCCCCCCCTCCCTAATCACACATGCCTCCGATCCGCAGCTCAACGTCGACGACAGCGAGCTGACGTACCTGCTCGACACGCTCGTGAAGCTCGAGGCGCGTGCTGATAGATTACTCATTTGAGAGAGCACGTCTCCTCCTCACAAACCTCCCCCCCCCTCCCCCCTCGGAACAGGCGCTGGAGGTGAAGAGCGACACGTGGAAGGACGCGGCGTCCACCTGGATGTCCGTCCTCGAGCTGCGGCGCAAGATCGGCGTCGAGCGCGGCATCGCCGTCATCGACTGCATCGCGGGCGACCAGAAGGTTCGCTCCACTACTCTCCTCCCGGACGCTCCTCGTTCACAGTCAGTGTCCACTGACTCGGTTGCCCTATTCCGTTCGCTAGGTGCTCGACGCGCTCGGCGCCGCCAAGGCGCTCTTCGACATCGAGGGCGACGCGCCGCCCGACGTCTTGGCGCGCCGCTAGACAGAACTCGCCCTCTCTTTGTGACCGCAACAGCGACTGAAAGTGGAACGATTGCCCTACACGGCGCGATCGACACTCAGCCCCTCGTGACAGCGCCGCTCTCGGCCCTCCCTCCGCCTGCAGGCGCGGCTCAGCAAGGCAGCCGGCGGCCACATCCGCGCCAACGGCTACAGCTACCGCAAGAAGATCAACCTCGAGCTCGCGCGCATCCGCCGCGTGCGCGACCTGCAGATGCGCGGCGTGGCGCTCGTCGGGACGGCGATTGCGGCTGCGCTCATCTCGACCTTCAACTACCTCTACTCCGTCGCCGACGGCGTGGAGCCGTGGTGGCTGCCGCCGGCCGTCGTGCTCGGCGTCCTCTGCGTCCTCCTTCCCGCCGCGGCGGTCCTCGTCTACCTCCACCTCCTGCACAAGCGCAACTCGGCGGGCTCGAGGCTGGGCGGCGGGCTCGGGCACGGCGCCTGAGCTTTCTCCACCGACCCCGGGAGGAGGGCCGCGCCTGGCCCTTAGTTCCCTCTCTGCCGCCGCCGCGGCCTGTGCAAGCCTTGCCTGAGGGCTCGAGGCTGGGCGCGGCGGGCGCACAGGCGCTACGGACCTGAACGCGCGGGAAACGGGGATGTGACGCACTCTAGCGCGTCTAGGCTCTGGGCATGTCCGTCTAGGGTACCATACTTCCGGAATAGGCCGGTGTGCTATGATGTAACATACTTCCGGGCCGGTGTGCGGGGAGCGAACCTTAACGACCGCCCAGAAGCTTTCTGAGCAAACTATCGGGCCGGGATCATCAGCATATGTCCCCTCCACAACATCGTGGGCGTTTGAGCGGTATTTGAGGAGCACCGCCACTCTGAAGTTCGGCCGGGTGGTCTGCAGACCCCCTAGTGGGGGAAATGGTGATTTTTGAATGAACGCCTCGCGCAAAACCACCGCTACCATGCTCCAGATGACCCTTGTGGGCTATCATAAACACCCAAGATCACGCACTAACTCTAAAGTGGGCCCGAGATATGCCCGTCAACCCACGGATTTTTTCTGCCCGCGCGGGAGCCTGGGCCCGGCGGCGCACCAGCGGTCGTAGACGCGCTTCCGAGCTTCGCGGTGAAGGTACGCGCTTCCGAGCTCCGCGGAGATAGAGCCCATGCCCCACGCACTGCGCCAAAGAAACTTGACCTCGCTGAACGGTCGGCACTCGTCCGGGCCGCGGCAGTAGGAATCGTCGACGCAATTGATGTCAAGCGCCCAGGGCCATCGTGGGGCGCCTGAGCTGCAGACGCACCGCCGCACCACGGGATCGGGCGTCGGCAGCTCCGGGAAGGCCGCCTTGAGCCGGTGGATCGCGAGCCTATAGCTGGCTCTAACCGCCAGCCCCCTCGCCTCAGCCTCTGCTGCCTCCGTCAGGTCGTCGTACTCCTCGGAGAGATCGGGAACTACCCAGTCGCCTAATCTTCCTCGGCCGACAATCTTCCCATATCTCACGCAACTCTCGAAATCGCGGGCCGCCACCACGGCTTCGGCCGCGAGCGTGGAGCCGAATATGCCCTCGGGCCGCGTGTCGCCGACCATCAAGCAGTAGTCGTCCACCTCCCGCGCGACGATCACCATCTCCTCCTTGGTCTCGCTCTCGAAGGTTTCGGAGTCGTCATCGCGAAGCTGATCCAGCCAATAGCGACCGCCCTGCTCGAGCAACCGCCGCGCCACCGCCGCCTCGTGCTCTGCCGTCATGAGCAGGAGGCGGTTCGCCGTCTGATCTGGCGCTGCCGGCTCGACCTCCATTTCCGACTCGCTGTGGGGCTCGGCGGGCGGCTCCGGCGCCTCGGTGGCGACCGTGGGCTCGGAGGTCGCCTCGGGCTGCCTGTGGATGTTGTCGTTGGCTGAGTTCTTCTGCTTCTTGCCCGTTCGGCCGAGGCCTCGGTTGCGAGGCATCTCGGTACACGCGACGGCAGCACGACGTACGCGACGAGGCCGGCTCCTTGATGGCGACCTGCAGCAGGACGGTGCGCATGTTAAGAGCGTGGTAGCGAGCGCATCGGGCCTAGCCCGGGGCCGTGGCGTGTACCGAGAGGCTTGTCTACCGAACACTTTTGGTATGCATACCTGCCCAGAGAGCAGACCAGAAAAAATTTATTGCCAGAGTGAGCCATTTCCCCCACTAGACCCCCCCCCCCGGAGCAGCAGAGGCTCCGTGGGGTCGAAAAGTCGACGCTGGGAGTCGCACTCGTCAAGCCATCGCAGCACCACGCGGTCCGCACGTACCGCCCACATCCCCTCAACCGCTGAGAAGGCGCAGATCGACCGCAGGGCCGCGTAGTCGTCGTTAAGGAGCGGCTTTTGGAGCCGTACGAAGAGGTCCCAGACGGGCGAATGCGGTTTTTCGATGACCACGCGCGATGTGGTATCTGCTTTTTGCTAAAAACGGGCCGCCTAGTGCAGCATCACTAGCAAAACACGCAACCACACTGAGAGCTCCACACTAGCCGGTATAGGCGAGCACCGGCGGCCTCACCGTCGCCGCTCGCGGCGGAGCCGACGGCGGAGCCACGGGCCGGTGCGACCTTTTGGGAGACGTGTCATCCGTCCCGATCGTGACCAACCAAAGCCACCCCCTCTTCGTAGACCCCATTCTGAGTGAGGGGTCCTGATTCCAAAGCCGCTCCCAGCCGCACCCGCCAAGCACCTGCCGCCTCCATCCACCTCCGCCTTCAATCTCAATGTCCCACCCCCCTGCGCGCGGGCCTTCTAGGCCCGCGGGTAGTCTCCCCCCATCCCCAGGGCCTCCAGGGCTCGCACCTCAACCTCTCATAGACCAGCGCAAAGCGCCATATGTGATATGAGATATGACGTAATTAAATTCTTCTCAATAACAAGGTCTGTGAATACCCCCCCCCCCCCCCCCATCCCCAGGGCCTCCAGGGCTCGCCCCTCAACCTCTCATAGACCAGCGCAAAGGGCCCTATGACGTATTTTCTTCCCAATAACAAGGGCTGTGAATGCCCCCCCCCCCATCCCCAGGGCCTCCAGGGCTCGCACCTCAACCTCTCACAGACCAGCGCAAAGTTCCAGGGAGGTCCTCTTAGCGCCGGTGTGAAGAGGGCTCCACGAGAGCATCATGAGCGGCGAGGAGCCCACGCTACCGCCGGGCGAGGCGGCGGAGGACCACAAGCGCGAGCGCGAGGCGGAGGAGGTGGCGGCCGACGGCATCTCAAGCGTCAAGCGCCTTCGCTCCGACGTCGACGGGGCCGCCGCGTCGCCGACGGCAGACGCCGAATCCGCGGCGCTGGGCGGGCCGGGCGCGCCCGCAGAGGCGGCGGCCGCGGGCGGCGCGGCCACCTACGTAGGCGGGCCTGGCGCGGGCGCCGCGGGTGCCGCGGTGGCTGGCGCCGCGGTGGTCGGCGGCGCAGTTCCGGCGCCCATCTCGTACGACGCGGCTGCGGCGGGGCTGACGTCGATACCAAACACGCCGTACTCGTACGACGCGAACGCGGCCGGCCTGACCGCCTCCCCGGCCGCGGTGACGGGCGACCTCGCGAGCCAGGTGCTCAAGCTGCTCGTTCCGGAGAAGGAGACGGGCAACGTGATCGGGCGCGGCGGCGAGCGTCTCAAGGAGATCCGGACCGCCACCGGCTCGCAGACCTACAGACACTTCCCAGACACTTCCTAGACACGCGTTGACTGACGGTTGCCTTTGTGAGTGGGGTAGGCTCGCACATCCACATCTCCGAGAAGGAGGAGGTGATCCCGGGCACGCGCGAGCGCATCTGCACAATCACCGGCTCGCTGCAGGGGCTGCTGCAGGCGCAGCACTACATCTCGGACATCCTCGCGGATTGATAGTTAATAATTAATTAACTAATAATTAATAGGCGCAGCACTACATCTCCGACATCCTCGCGGATGAATAGTTAATAATTAATGAACGAATAATTAATAGGCGCAGCACTACATCTCTGACATCCTCGCGGAGAACAAGAGGGAGCGGCAGATGAAGGACCTACCTCCGGGCGCGCCGCCGCCGGAGGAGGCGCCGCGCTTTGCCGCAGGCTGCTTGGAATGGTGAAGAAGTCACACTGACGGACAGTGGCCTGGCACGGTGTTCACAGGAGCCGCGCGTGCTGAAGCTGCTCTTCCCGCACAACTCTTGCGGCGTGGTGATGGGGCGAGGCGGCGAGTTCATCCGGCAGCTCATCACCGCCACCGGCGCCTCCGTCCGCATCTCGCAGCCTTCCGAGATGATCGTGGCGACGCAGGAGCGCGTCGTGACGATCTCGGGGAACGTCGCCGCCGTCGACGCCGCGCAAGACGCGATCTTCCAGAGGATGGCGCAGGCGGAGACATGGGGAGATATGGGGAGATATGGGAGATATGACGCAATCTTCCAGAGGATGGCGCAGGCCTCCCCCCCCCCCCCTTTCTATTTTAGAATCCTTTTCAATTTTTTCCTTTTCACCCCTTTTTCTCTGATTTTCTTTTTTTCCCTCTCTTTTTTCTTCAATCACTTTTTTTTTTCAAATTTTTACTTCCTCTCTCTATCTCCGCTCTCTTCTTTCTTATCCTCCCTTCCCTATTTCACTTCATCCTCTTCACGCCTCTGTTTTTTTCATACTTTACCCTTCTCCAATTTCATTGCTTTAATAACTCTTCTTTTCTTGTTCCCTCATTTCCTTCCTCTCTATCATTTTCCTTTCTCTT